GAACATTAATAGAAATGTACAGGAGAGGCGTGTCTGTGTTTGATCAAGATGGAGCTCCACAGGTTAACATGGAGGACAGAGAAAAAAAAAGTCAGTCTTGGCTGTAGTTTGCAACTAAGGGACAGACAGTGTGTTGTTAGCAATGGTATTAAAGAGTAGGGACCACACCAGCGTCCAAACAGACTGAAGTGACATTTGCAGATAAGTTTATGTGCTGCAACTTCAAAGGAAACGTCACCCATTTTCAAAATTCGTGTTATCTATTTGGTCTAAGACCATCCAAAAATATTAGTAAAAATAAAAAACTCTCTCCCAAATCCAAAAAAATAGAATGCTAAAAGTCAAACTTGTGATGTCATAGGGTACAATGTCTGAAGCTGCTCCACAGACAATGAATGGGGAAAGATGTTGTAGATGACACTGGGGGCACACTGGGAGAACACTACATAGGATAACGCACATTGGGGTATAAAAAAGAAAACAGAACAGAAGAAAATCAGTCTCCCATTCATTGTCTGTGGAGCAGCTCCAGACTTGATACCCTATGACATCACAAGTTTTAGACTAATTACTCTGGTTTCTGGCTTTGAGAGAAGGGTAGCTCATGTTCACAAATGACGATGGTAATAGCATGTTGGAATTCTTAATTTAGGTGGTGTTAACCATTAATGTGCTGCTCCTGACCAGCTAACTAGCTAACTATCCAGCTTGGTAACTGACATTAGCAGTGCACTCTTCACTGGTAAACGTTTGTTAGGTCACTTGTTCAACAAGCCAAGGTGAAGGAGTTTGTGTTCATGTTTGTAAGTTAGCTAGATAAAAAGGTGACCTTAGCAGGAAAGCTACAATGGGCTGTTGTTCAAATTGGGTTGTCTGAGGCCCTTGTGTTGTGTATCAGGCTGCTGATTTATAGAAAAGGTTAAGATTTTGACTTTATGTCTGCTCCTGACTAGGCATAAGATTTACACCAGGCCTTAGCGAGAAGACAGCTTAGAGATGGATTTAAATTTGTGTGTCAGCTCTATGCAGAGCCCACGCCGTAGCCTACACATATGGCCTACACCGTTGTGAACATTTCTACTTGTGTGGTGGTGTATCTGCAGTTACACCTCCAGAACTCTAGTCAGCGGTGAGGTTTCTGTGAAATGCTGTAAAGTTTAGTTGATTCAAAACACACATTAAACATGGTTAAACTGTAACTGTGACAAAGTCCAAGTACACAAATTGGCTTCACTATAACTCGCAGGATACACAGACAAAGCACTTGTCTTTTGCTGGACACATTTTCCCAACAAATACAACATGCTAATGTTATTAGCACAAGCCTTTGGTATTTTAGATTGTATAAATTAGCCTAGCAGCTAGAGGAGACTTCCTCTACTCATATCAAGCCAGGGACAATAGTAGCATTTCACAAAAGGAACATTTCACAGAAGTAAAGTTACAAAATTATACTTCATTACAACTCCCAATGTTCACTGGCAAAACAACTGTATGATACTAAACACGTTTTCCAAACAAATACAACATGCTAACATTATTAGCACAAGCCTGTTACATTGTATAAATTAGCCTTGCAGCTAGCTGAGATTTCCTCTATTGAAATGAAGCCAGGGACAACAGCAACATTTAACAAAGGTAATGTAACAAAATTCCACTCCATAACAACAAATGGTTTTCAGCTTACAAAAAAAGTCAGGAGGTCTGCATCACTGCAACATGTAGTTACATTGCTGGGGAGGTGCACGTCAGGCTATGGTGTAGGCTATGGCGTAGGCTCTGTATTGACACAGAGACTACGCAGTAAGTTCAGCATCGATTCGACCAGGCTAAGTCAGTGAGGTTAACACTACTACTACAAATTGACGGAGCTATCAACTACAACATTTCACTGAAATTATATTTTAGAATTTTATGTATCAGAAAAATTGATTGATTGATTGATTGATTGATTGATTGATTAATTGATTGACTGATTGATTGATTGATTGATCAAGGCTAATTCCCATTAGTGCAACCAGCCCCAGGAAGAGCTGTTGTTCGCAGGAGCCACATACATGAATCTGAACAAAGAAAAAGGCTGCAGTTTCCACTAGTTTGAATTCCCCACTCATGATGTCATCCCAGGTAGAAGTGATACTATCCCAAAGAGAGCGTAATAAATACAGTATATACTGTGTATGGAGATACAGTTGAAAAACAACAAATAGTGTCTTTGCTGTAGTTTTTTGTCTGCTACTTTTTGAAGGAATAACTCACTTTATACTCTATAGTGGTGTTTTCCAGTATGAGGTCACATACTGTGATTGATATTTTAATATCACATAATGGGAACCCATGGTACAATGCTACACCCAGTGTTTCTATGACATCACAACAGCCCCATCTGTCGTGCTGTACAAAGTAACTCAATACATGTACTTGGCTGGAGACCAGCTGCACCAAGCAAAGTGTTTGAAGTTTTGTTTCTAAGTTTATGTTCAAATCGTGAACTCCCACAGCTCTCTCGGCAGCTGCTTAAATATGCGGATGTGTGTAAGTAGGTGTGAGTAGGTGTGTATATGTGCTGAATACACAGTACGAGTGGGTGAATGCACGGCGTGCTGCACTTATGGGGGCTCGAGTAATCCAGCCATGCCACAATTCAGATGGGTTCAAAACCAAAGATGAAAACATAAACAGTCATTGCCCATGCGTTAAGAGGCAAGCGTGCAAACATTTTTTTAAGAGAAGTATGATGTCATCTTATCTGGCCTGAACTCTCCCAACTACCAGGAACCAAATCTGAGAGAAACAGTGAGTGGGGAGGAGGAAAGAGGAAACTTGGCGTGTGTTGGAGCAGCTTGAGTACAGCTGGGAGAGGGGTCATGTCCACAGAGAGAGATTGAAACAGGCTATTTCTGGGCCTGCCCCCCTGTCCCCTCACTCACATACAATCATGCATCATCCACACCCTTCACTATCTTTGCTCATCCATCTTAGTCTGCCACAGCAGAGCCCAGTTGTACAGTTCTTATCAAGACCTTTCAATTCATGGTCTCATGTCTTACACTGACGAATGGTAGATGTGAGGTGGGTGGGAGTTACAGAATGTGCCATCACAGAAAGGGTTGCAGAAGAAAATGGCTGCATCAGTTGTTGTCCCTTGTTTTCTCTAGTGTGCGATTGAGCCATAGTTGGAGTGTGCTCAGGCTGCCGCAGGATGAGAGGTGAGGGCGTGAACTGTGTGTAATGATATTAGCGTGCTATATTAGCCCAAATCACAGCTTGTTCAACAACGAAGCAAGGTAAAACAGATATAGCTGATAAGTTTGACATGCCGACTTGCTTGCCTCTAAAATTCAGGACAAGATTTTGTATTAACATCTATATGCTGCTGTTACAAACTTCACCAAGTTGTCTATACTCATACTGAAACTATAGAGTTTTTTTAAGCTCTACTGACTTCCCAGAAAGAGGCACTCTCAGCTATTGTGCAGTGTACAGTAGCAGTCGTTTCATTTTACTTGTGTGGGCCAGAACAACCACCCAATCAAATCCTTGCCAGCACCCTCTCCCTGAACTCCTCTTCTCACTCATCACGATAATGAGTAGGGGGATGGGCAGAGCAGGTGGTGGCCTATGAACATATCCATAATCCAAAGAGAGAAATAAGGATACATATCACTACTTTTATTTGTTTCCATGCCAATGAAGTAGCCATTCGTCATTCCCATATACATAGTTGGTCTTGAATGTGGAGAATTTCAAGCTGTGCCCTCTGAACACGCGTCCTTTCATCATGGCGAACAGAGACATGTTGGAAGAAAAAGTGCAGGAAAAATATCTGCTAGCACATCCTTCTTTCCCTCTCCCCAGTGCTTAGTAATTCTTTGCCACGATTCTGTCAGTCCAATATATCACATGTAACTCCCCACAGAACAGCTCAAATTCAAACTGTGTTGTGCATTTTTACTGTAGATGGTGTGATATTTTGTGCTTTAAATAATTTAATAGATTCAATTTTTTCAAATGATGGAAAATTAAGTTCTGGGGAACAATGTTACTCTGCCTTTGCAGTTGTATAGTGATTGTTGCTTTAAGGCAAGAGAACTGACCATGAGCTCTATAATTTAAAACCATCTGTAGTATTTCTCATGTACACATTTTGTACTCATATTTCCTAAGGCATGTGCATCGCTACCTATTTCCTGTCTAGAGATAATTACATGTTCTAAATATGTAAACAGTAAAAAGTATACTACTACAAAAGGATTATTTGCTTGCTTCAGTTATCACAGAAAACATCTGGGCCTAATAAGCAACGAGATGCTCAGTACCTGTTACTTTTCAGCAGGTTGAAGCCTCCTCTGAGGCATGAAGGACAAACACCCAGACTCCTCTACGACTTAGGAGTTTGTGTTTGGAGGATAAGATGGTTTGGCTATGACCTCCATGTGATAGGGGTCACCGAGCTGCACAGCAGCCTTTTCCTGTTGCCATTTCTGAGTGAGGCTCTCCAACACAATAATTGCTTTTGATGTACGCTACATGTCCTCCATGTCATAGAATCTGTGCTGGTTTTTGGGGGGAATAAATGGCAACCCCATGCAATTTTCCCAGAAAAATGAGTGAATGTACCCAGATGAAACAGTACTACTATAAAAGCAAGCAAAGCCTGCAATGACGGGTGCAACCCGCTAGCCAAACAATTTAATTGAAACTGAAATTGCCTGCAGACTTAAATGCTGCGTCTGACAGCTGTAACATCTACATGCATGTTTAGTCCCTCAAGGACACAAGGATAATCAAGTTTAAAGTGTTTACGATTGGTTTGTGATTAAAAGGGGCTGCAATTACTCATGGGAAGCCAAATGAGGAGGACATATCAAATGCTCTCTTACACTAAAGCATCATTCCTTCAGCTAGGTAATGAGTCAGACCTCTCCTCTCATACATATATATATATATATATATATATATATATATATATATGTACTGAACATTCATTCTTATCTTACCTGGGTAGAAGTCTTTGGATTTGGACAGCTTAATGGTGGCACCCGTCTCCTTCTGCAGTTGTACGATGGTCTGGCCGCCCTTGCCAATTATAGAGCCGGCTGCATAGCTGGGGATCAGCACCTTCAGGAAGTACTCACCCTCCTCTGGGGGAGAGACACACAAAGTGGGAAAGGGTCACATCTTGTAAAGTAGCTCTGCACATCATAATATACTCATACTGGTGCCCAACCCCCAATACCCTGAACAAGCAAAAATCCACAATGGGGTACACAGCTTTGACATATATATGGGGAAAGGCAATCACATGATCTTGTGTCTGTATTCCTCTGTTGAAGGTAAGTAATCTGGAAGAAGCCTTGTGGGTTCTTTGTAGCTTTCAGTGCATTCACATTTTATCAGACTGTGACATGTTCTGTGTCCTGTCCCAGATTTCTTGTAGAGTAAATGATGACCTCCTTTCCAGTTTGCAGAGGTCTAATTTTAACAGTTTTCAAGGAGTTTTAGAAAACCTCTGACTAAATACAAAGCCAGGTCCAGTGTTACTAATCATTCTTCACACATGAATAAAAGGAATGTCAAGTTAAGAGCTTGGTCTGACTGCAAAACAGCCTGTATGCTCTGAGAAAGAAAGTTACACACGGAGGACTAAATGCAAACACATGAAGTCATTATCCATGCAGTTCATGAATGCCAATACAGAGTGATCCTTTGTAATTAACAGACGTGAGAAGAACATATGGGAACCAATCCCACAGATTTGTTCAAAGGGTATACTGCCAAGATGGTCTAAATCTCCTCCATTTTGGAAGGGGCTTCTGTGGCTTACAGTGGCTTGTAGCAGTCAGTGATTGACAGCCCGTCAGTTTGAAGAATTTACAGACAAACGTTTCTCCCTGTCAGTTGGGAAAGTTCCTTTTTCCTACAATGCTAATTAAGAATTAATTAGCAGTGAAGTGGGCAAAGTGTCTGTTGAAGAAAACCCTGACCACATTGAGTGTTCTAATCTAGTAAAAAGCAATCAGCCACATATTGAGCTTGGACCTGAGCATAATTAAAGAACCTGCCAACAATACATCTAAAATATTATATTTATAGATGTGGAGTGGCTGTGAGTACACACTGAATTCCAAATATTATATGGATGACATCATGGTAAACACTTAGTACAGGTACGTTCTTAGGACTGGTCCAAATAATCTCCTCTGCATGCTGATTTCGATGCAATGACGTCATGTTCGATCTTTTTCAGCTGCCTCAAGGGTGACGTCACTCGAGCGAGCAGAGATGTAAAAAGGCACTGTCCGTCTCTGTAGCACGAGATATCTCATACGTTTTCAAGTGTAGTAAGATACAGATTTTCGATCGCAGATGCCAAAGCCCCACAGTCTGTCACCATGTCACTGCATCCTATGTTATGTGGAGGGTATCAAATGTGGGGGCTTGTCTGGCATGATGGGGAGGAAAGACGGATGGATGGAGGTGGACCGCCCTGCACTAAGACCAACCTGTTGCCTCAGTAATGCACTCATTAGATTCAGATGTGAATGAACATGGCACTGTGACATTAAGGAATTTCACAGCCTACAAGGAGCTCTTCTCCTTATTGCATTAATATGCCCCTCATGTTCCATTCAGACACAGGCTTGTTTTTGTGCACATCACCCATAATCAATGGCTCTGACAAATAATGCGGACAATGATATGATTGTTAATGGAATTTCACTTTTGATTTAGATCAATTAGCCACAGTTGTGGCGACAATCCCAAATCCCAGAACATATTGTACATAATTTACGGGAAAGCACAGAGATAATATTTACACCACCATCAAGAGCTAGTAAACATGTCAGGTGCCAGTCAATATGCCATTTTTCTGAGAACATCCTAAAAAAGAAATAGGAGATAAATCTCTACACAGACATAATATAACCAGCTATGTGGCTATTGTCTGATCTTTACATTTCATGCTATATTGCAGTCATCTCTCTGCTTTTCTCACAATGAACAACAATAAAATGACCTTGGTGAGAAAATAAAGATCATGCATGTCTGACAAGGTTGCCGTAAAGCTTCTGAGCCCTCACTCCTATCACAAAATATCTGATATCAAAGCCATACAAAGAATTTATACGAATGACGCTGATTGCAGAATCCAAACATCCAAAGACCTGTTGTTGACAGACAAGCCAAAACCCACTGCGTAACTTTCTACTCATCTTCAACCAGAGTAAACCCAGCAGGGGAGGAAGCCACTAAGACTCCCTCCGTCGCCCTCACAGCCACGTTTGCTGTCATTAGTCAATAATTAATTCTGTCCTAGTGTCTGAGATCACAGTAACAGGTTTTAATGGCGTCATGTGGTAGAGTAAACATGGCAATCTGTTGCTGCAATCCGCCAGGGAACAGGAGCAGTGGGGCACATTGGGAAGCTGAGCCAGTGGGGTGTTAGTTCAAACCCCTGCTTCCAATACTGGAAGGATGGCTTGGAGGAGAGACACGGACGCTGAGCCAAATGTGTTTAGTTAAGTCACTCAAGGGGGGTGGGTCAGGAGGAAATGCCTTGTGACCGTCCTCCCTCCTTCTCACTACCCCTCCAAGTACCCATTCTGCATTTCAATGGACTAACCTGGTGCTGACAGACGGCAAGGACGATGGAACAAAAATGAGCAAGAATGGAGAAATGAGCTTAAGGTTTATGAAATTGCACGTATGGTCTAGCATGATGGATAAATTCAACAAGTCAGACAAAAAGAGTTTGAGGCTTACCCATTCTGAGATCTGCTGCTTCTCAAGTCCTCTGTCAGATCGCCATCAATGCCAGGGCACAATCTCTAAAGGGGATCTGAACATTAGCCTAGGCATAGGTGCAATGGTAGTGTTGAGGAATGCGGCCAGTCGACTTTTTCACCGAGGTCTAATTCATCAGTGAGTGCAGAAAAGAGATTTCACCGCAGCATCCGAGCCATGCCTGCAGCTGGCCAGAGCCTCAATTGTCTGAGAAAATGCTAATGCAGGCTCTCAGTGTTTTCAGTGAAAGACGGCACGCATTGTTCAAGCCTGCATCGGTTTGAAGGGGGGGGGGTCTTCCCTGCCGCATCACCCTTTTCACTGCTCTCATCCATATTCATCGAGTGGCCTGTCCGTCTGCAGCAGCACGCAGGACTGACACCTCGCTCGGCCAATGGGTAGCCTCCTCCCTCCAGCACGTCATGTCCCCACCCCCTGATGCTGGTCCCAAAAAATTGAATTTTCTCCCCTACTCCGCCTCTTTTGACGCAGCACTATAAAGTATGGCAGTCCATTCACTCACTTTTTTTTAGTGGAAAGTGACAAAGGTGAAGTGGCTGGGGAAGCAGGCTTCAGCGGTGAATGGGGAAGCATGTAGAGTGACCTTCAACAGTGGCTGAAGAGGTGTACGGATCACATAAGCAGATGATGAAGGAGGTGGAGGAGGAGTGATCTGAGACAGCGTGCCTTACGCCACCCACCCTTCTTTCCTCCTTTCCCCCACCCCCAATCCCTTAGACGGCCATGTTTGAGAGGGCGGAGGGGCTCATCAACCATTGCAAATGGCAGTGCCGCAGAATGGTGGAGGGGGGTGATGAAGCCAATCACTACGCCTATAAATCTTACGCCGAGAGGTATCTTAAGTGACTGAATGTGCATAAAAACAGCAATGTGCATGTGTGTAAGTGTCTGTGTTTGGACACGGGGGGTCCAGCCTCATTTAATAGTGCTTTCCAGGGAACCTGTAAAAAGGGAACTCCTTTTTCCTGGCTGCTGATTAGTTTCATCCACAAATCAAACCCTAACATCGTGGCCAGTTTGGTTTTGGAGCGAATGCCTTCCAGAAAATTCTACCAGTCTCATTCACTGAGAGATGCTCTAGTATATAGACACAGCCTCCCTGTAGACTCCACTCCCTCTCACGGTCTATCTATCTCTCCTTTTCTCTCCGCTTTGCTCTGTCTTCATTTCTATCGCTCTCTCTCATTCTCTCTTTCACTGCCACCTGGCAAATTCACAGTCTGCTCACGTCACATCACTCTGCAAGGGCACCTGTGTCCTTCCCACCAAAAATTAAAAAAAATACAGCTCACATTCCTGTGCCAACCTTTCCATTAGTAACATTACGAGATCATACCTAATCCCTCAGCCACACAACCTTTTGGAAGGCACATGCTTGCCAGCAACATGGGCTCAGAGTATGGGTAATTAGAGAGAGAAATGAATGAAAGATGTTCATTTTGAGGAGAGAAGGGCAATGCTGATAAAAGAGGAGTAATTTCCCTCATTCAGTGTCCACAGCTCTTAATGCACAACGAGGGGCTCAGCTTTGAGAGAGCACAGGCTTTCTTCTCTTTGTTGTAACTGCCAGTCATGTTAATGATCAGTTCGGTAGGAATAACGTGATCAATATCAGACGTAGTCAAGGGGTTGGTGATTACAGGGACAGCTGAGGATTATCAGGCTGTCTACCACTATTGCCAGACAGGCTGTGGGTTTGCAATGCTACATCAAATGCATGTAGATCACATGAAATTGGAGGTGATGCTAAAACACATTACATAAAGCACAGGGTGACAAGATATTTATGAAACATCTGTTTTGTGTGGGAGTCATTACAAATGGTCTACATGTGCCTTTCAGGTGAACATATACAGAGAGCTTCGGGTCCTGAGCTCAGATTGTAGTACCATGGTTCAAATTAGCCTCAGATACGTATCACAATGATCAGAAGATTGCTGAGTATTGCATTAACATATATTGCGATATATTGCTACTTATTCCCTTTTTTCAACTGCTAATAATGTCCCCAAAGGAAAACTTTGTCAACATCTGTATTATCTAATAAGATAATGTTTTCAGTCTGTTCATCTCACTTCAGGCATTTTTATTGCAGCAAAATGTCTCTATTGGATTGAAAAAGCAATTGATTTTTCTTATTCTAGCAGGCTACCAAAGGTTTGATTTGTGTATTAATTAATTAATAATTTCTACAATAAAGAAATCATCACTTGGCATGCACTGATAGGATACTGCCACATTGTGCTGTACCGATGTGCTGTACCCCCCCACCCCCACCCCCCCGAAACCCTACTGTAGATATAGATGTTATGTGAATGTAGATGCTGCTTGCCTCAACTGTTCAGATCAAACTATACGTTAAATAAAATGTACATGTAGGAAACACTCATTTTAGTATAAACTATTGGTTCTTAAATGAGTTAATGTGTTAATGAGTTTTTCCAGTTTTAAACAAAAGTTAACAGACGTTCTTACCAAAAACACAATTTTGACATGTCCTGATGCCTTTTTATCTGCATGTACAGTATGCACATATCTGTACATTCCACTTTTCCTTTTTGATGCCTGGACAGTAGTTTTTATTCTGTATTTATGATGTATTGTTTTGTATTTTATTGTACATATGTAATCGACATGTACTTGACCTAACTTTGTTGCCTTCTTGACCAGGTCACCATTGAAAAATAGATTTTTGTCTCAAATGGTTTTTATACAGTTAAATAAAGGGTACATTAATAAATAAAACAAAAATTTTAAGGGGAAGTATGCGGCAGTTTTATTCCTTTCTGACACTTTAATGTCAGCAATAAAAGACACAAATTGAATTTCCAGTTAAAAATCTGGGGCCATGGTTGTCTACAGTGATGCAGGTGCTGTCCTGGACCATTGTTGTGAAGAGGGGACTGGGCCAAAGAGCAAAGCTTTCAATTAACCGAACATCTACATCCCAACCCTCACCTATGTACATGAGCTTTAGGTAGTGACCAAGAATGAGATCGCGGATACAAGCAGCTGATATGAGTTTCCTCTGTAGGGTGGCTGGGTTCAGTCTTAGAGATAGGGTGAGGAGCTTGGACATCCAGAGGGAGCTCCGAGGAGAGCTGCTGCATGTTTGTGACGAAAGGGGCCAGTTGAGGTGGTTCAGGCATCTGATCAGGATGCTTCCTGGGCGCCTTGCATTAAAGGTGCTCCTGGCACATCCAACTGGTAGGAGACCCTGGGATAGACCCAGAACACACTGGAGGGATTATACATCTCATATGGCCTGGGAACGCCTCAAGATCCCCAGGAGGAGCTGGAGAGTGCTGCTGAGGAGAGGGATGTCTGGAGTACTTTGCTCAACTATAAATCTGCTTAAAAAATCCTACAAAGCTTTTATTCTTGTACATATTCCGTTCATACAGTTCTTCAACATTAACATTTATTTTAAAATGCTCATCATAGTTTGTTGTGGGGTCAAAAAGAAGACTGCATGCCGCATACTTCCTTATAATTTGCATTATGAATTGCATGTGTCCACTTTTGTCCCAAAATGCACAGGATATGGGCAGTTGGACATTAATGCTTACAAATGGAATTTCTCATTGTTTTCCTTGATGAAGGGGTCGGGTATTCAACACAAATATTATCCTGTTCAGGAAGCCATCTGAAACACCTTTGCCTCTGAGAAAACAAGGCAGCCTCAGTTAGACCACCATCAGGACACGAGTAATTGTGCAGCAGATTTTACAGGTACAGTGGGGCTGTGGTGCAGAGATGCTTAAAAGAACATGGAGTGATGCTGATAAAACGATGTATAATTCCATTATAGAAATGACAGAAAAAAAGTCAGAGCTGTCTGTGTGAATTCTGTATTTTTAGCATTAAGATCTTCCAAATGTAATTTCACACCGTCTAGCCATTCATATCACCTGCATATTGGATGGGAAGATCACAGTGAAGTCTCTGTGCTGCAACTGAATGGTGAAAACTCGAAGCAGGAAAACCATGTGACTTCTCTGTTCTACAGTGGCTTTGGGGGTGCTAATGGAGGACACATGGGGGGATGAATCTGCTCTAAAATGCTGTCTGGTGGCACAGGGGTCCTCATGTGCCATGCTGAAATGATATTTCTGAGGTGCAGTAAAAAAAAACACACTCATGCTGTTAGAAATAGGATATAGTGCTGCTATCATTGACACAAAGACAGACAAAGCACAATTCACTAACATATGGTGAAGAAACTGCCTGTTCTCCACAGACGTCTAATTAGCATTAAGTTCTTGAATAAGTGGTCCCTATGAGCTGCAGACCATAACAATCACAAGCTAAAATAAGACGTACAAGCTGCAAAGTAGCTGGCACACTGAATCAGCCGTCATCCTCACCACTGCACTCCGACATCTTACTGACGATGAGTAATAAAGCAAGTGTGCACACACCTCCTTGTTGATTCTTTATTGGCTGCCACTATTTCTCCTCCACAAAAAGAAATCAGGTTCAATTAGCTAAGATGGCGCTGCAGTGTAGCTCCCCCCCACCACCACCACCAAATAGCTCTCACTATTCTCACCACTCACAGAGTTTCTGTGTTACATTTCCAATCTATTATGTTCATTGAATTTAAATTCTCATGCACAAACAGATGGAACCAGCCACCAACACCCCACCCAAAAAAATACATCTGCACCACCCAGCTCTGCCTGTTGAGCACTTCCTTGTTTTTAATTAATATTTTAGTATTTATGAATTTCACCACCATAGAGTGTGCTGACAGTTCAGACAGCCTAAACGCTGGTATGGCAAACATCATGACAGGCTAACAAAAATACCAAACAGATGCTGAGATTTGGCTCACCCAACAACCTATAAATAACCTGACTTTGATAGGAATCTAGGCTACAAGTGGGGATGAGTGTACCCTATCTATACCGTGTTATATGATTTTCACTGGGTGGTTTTGCTGCTTGGCTCACCTCAATATTTGTACTTAAAAATGCACACTTGACTCCAGAAAGTGTTAATTTGACAACTCTGAAAAAAATTCAGCCCTGCAGCAAAAGGGATATTCACTAAAATTTCCCAGAGCCCTGACACTGAATCTACAGTCTTTCATGAACAAAAGAGCACTGTTATTTCTTGTTCTTATCTTGTCACCATTCACAAATCAAGTAGTTCACCTAATATTTGGGCATATTAAACCATTAAGACATTATAAAGCTTTGGTATACTGTTTCAATGAGAGACATGTCTGTACTGTACCAAGACTCATAGTTGAGGGTTTCCCAGACTGCAAGATCCAGGACTCATAGGAAATATGTCTGACTTCACTATTGACTCACAGGTTGTTAGTACTACAACAAACTGCAGTGACATTTCTGTCATATATTCTCTGTGTTTCTACTCCCGTTATCTGTCACCAAAGGCCTCCTCACACAGTGCTGCTCAGGAACATTGCAGATTTATCTCTGGCCTTTGGGAATCCCTGTCTTACACTACAACCACAACAACACACTGAACACTGATAAACAGCGAGAGGGTTCTCGTAAACACTTCTATTTTAATGTTAAAGCCTCTACACACATATCATCACTTGTCGGAATCAAAGCCTCTATAGCGTATCTCCAGATGTGGAGCAGAGAGGTGATGGGGTTCAGATTCAAAGCTGACCTGAGGAGGCCACTCACTCAGTCAGGATGCCTGCTCTCCCTGCTGGGATAAGCAGCATATGAGCCAGTCAGTGTTTCAAAGTGCCAAATGCACAGGTGCTACATGTTAGAGCCCAACATGCAGCCCCAATCTGCTCCTATGCTGCATCTAGTTTCTTTGCATGCAGTGAGGGGATACTGACGGCAGTATTTTTTCTGGTGTACTTCCACCAATGCATGCAAAACCTTCTGCAACAAACCGATTTGACTTCATGTGGAGGAGACACGGCGGATAAGCTGGTTTTTGTTGTGTATCTCTTACCTCCAGTGTTGGTGCGCTTGGTACAGCCGGCCTCCTCCGCCGGAGTTTCCAGCGGTCGTTTGCGGGAGTCCGGGTTATCAGCCTCCAAATGGGGCTGTTGCAGGCTGTGGAGGTTAGGATTTGAATATATCCCGTTATGGTCCACGGCTGCTCCGCCACCACCAGCCATCATCATCTTTTCCACCCGGAGCTGTAGATAATTTTGCGCTATTCCGGCTCACACACACACACGACACCCTCACCACCACATAGCCTGATAACGCGCACCGCGATATGAACGACAAGTTTTGGGGGGCTCCAAACGGTCTCAAAGGGATCAGAATGTCAGACAACACCGGGATCGAGGTCTCCTCTTTCCGCCGCGCGTCCCTCACAGAGCTAAATATAAAAATCCCAATGAGTGAAAGGCGCTCATTTAACGCGCTCACCGTCGCTCCAGCAGCATGCTCTTTATTGTTGACGCGCAAAACAACCCCGCGCCTTAAAATAAAGCTGCACAACAGTGTGAGAGCCGATCAGCCATTAAAACAAGTGCAACAGCTTCGCAGAAACAAGGTGCTGGAACACAGCTTTCCGAAGTCATCTTCACGTCATGTGTCTCTGTTAAGTCCTCAATGTGATAAGTGCAGCTGTTGTTATTGTTGCCTTTGTAGTGCGAGACAGGAGAAATATAGTTTGAGAGCTCCAGAGAAGACCACAGTGCCACTGACCGGCCGAAAGACGAGGCCAATAAAGAAAAGGTCCATCTTATGTGAAGCAACTACAGACTGAAGCACTGCTCTTCCATTTCACTTCACTTTCTCTATTAAACTATTTGAACTGTTTTTTTAAGCTAACCTACATGTTTCTTACATTACTTTGCTACTTTGTTTTTTTCTTTTACTTAACTTCGTATTCTTATTCTTACTTAACCGCAAAACTAAAACACCAAATGAGAACAGCAGTGGGGCTTTCATGGTTATGTGATACTAAGCAAAAACATCTGATCTCATGTTAAAAATGTCATTAAATAAATTCTTTTTAAACTACATTAATAATACTTTAAGAATAGGCCAATGGTACACTTGTTTCCAGTACAGCTCCACTTATTTCAGGAGTCCTCAGAAAGATCAACTAAAAAGAAAGCTTACCTTAGAAAGAACTGAAATAATCCCACTCTATTAGCATCTGTGTTGACTTGGAGAAAAGCAACATCCTGAAATACAATATTAAAGGTCCAGTGTGTAGGATTTGGGGGGATATTTTTTCAGAAATGGAATATAAAATGTGTTTTCTTTAGTGTATAACAAGCTGAAAATTAGAATCATTGTGTTTTCAGTACCACAGAATGAGCTGTTTATATGTACATAGGGCCCAGGTCCTCCTTCATGGAGATTGCATGATACACCACCATTCTTTCTACAGTAGCCCAGAACAGACAAACCAAACACTGACTATAGATAGGGACATTCACGTTTTCACATTGGCCATCATAGTTAGCAGCCCATCTACACTGAGCAGTGTCAGAAATGACTGATTTGTAACATGAAACTACATTCTTCAGTGTTTTTAACACTTTTAATCACTCTGTCTATTTATTTTGAAGAGAAAGAGACCTCTGTGGATAACTCAACTCACGGTAAAAACCTCCTGAACAATGAACACAAGGTGTGGGGAAAAAGTCGATACAGCATCTCGATATTTTGTGTGGCGATATTGTATTGATACACAGACGACAAGTATCTATCTTTTATTACATACATTATTCATTTCTGCAAACATGCATTTTAATGCAACTTTTGGTACTAGAATAATAAAACTGCTTTTCAGTCCACCAGATGGTGCTGCTGTTTTTTTTTCTGGTGAGGTTAGTAGAGGTTTCAGTCAGCAGCATTTGGCAGGAAGTTCATCAAAACAAAGATGGAGGCACTACAGAAAGAAATCACAAATATGCCGTTGGCATTTAAATCAAACGTTTGGACTTATTTTGGATTTTTTAACATGGAAGGAAAGGAGGACTCGGATATGGCACATGCGATTTGCAGGCAGTGTCCTATGAGAATAAAATACTCTGGGAATACTACGAACATAAGGGCTCACCTCACACTCCACCATCCAGAGATAGCGTTAGCCCCTGACAGCCAAGCTAACGCCAAACCCACTATGCTGACGAAGTCAACCAACACTTAACACACTTGGCTTGATAAAATTAACATCCAACCCTCAGAGAGCTCAGAAAATAAAACAGTCCATCAACTACTTCATGCGCAAAGATCTGTGTGTATACAGCGTTGCTGAAAACAAAGGCTGTTGTTACATGCTAAACATACTAGAACCCAGGTATGTGACTCCGTCCTGACGTTCTTTCACCAAGATGTTCTTTCTACAGAGAAGTGGAGCATAAAGTTGAAGAATCTGAGTACAGCAGGAAGGTGGCATTAACTTTAGATGCCTGGACTTCAAGGTCAGTGGATTCATAAGCGACTGTAACGGCACATTATCTCACAGAGAACTGGCGACTGCTGTCTCACGTTCTCCAAACTAGAGCAGTACATTAAAGTCATACCGGCGCAAACATTGCAGACCTCTTGCAGCACAAGAATGGGGGATAGATGTTGTAACAGACAATACTTCTAACATGATGAGTTGCCATTCAGTTTGCAGGTTACCTACTTGTGAAGTGTTAGCCCTCATGCACTTAATCTGGTCTCGCAGAGGGCATTAAATCTGCCAACAGTTCAGTTTGTCAGGTGTATGCAGCATTTTTGATAGGTTTTATGATGTTGTTGGTCTGTCTGCATTGCATCACATTTTGCTGCAATAAAAATGACTAAAGTCACATGACCAGAATGAAAACTTTATCTTATGAGATAAAACTGATGTTGACAAAGTTTTCCTATGGGGAAATAATCTGCAGTTGGAAAAAAGGTCATAAATCGCAAAAATATTGCAATATATTTTAGTCACAATGCTCAGCATATCGCAATATTGCAATAATATTGTATCGTGACCTAAGTATCTTGATAATATTGTATCGTGGGTCTTCTGGAGAATCCCACCCCCAATGAAAACTGAAGGAATTCTAGCTCAGAGAAGGTTTAGCTGGTTGCAATCTGCAGTTCCCTACTAGACAATGCCAAGCCCCCTAAATCTTATACACTTCACTTTTAAGTTAAATAAAAAAGACAAAGAAAGAACACAGTAACAAAATGGGCAGTAAATACCAAACAACAAAAGTAGTGGGAGGGTTTCACTGAATGTGATTTATTATCTACAAATGACTGTACACTATCTACAGTACCTCATATCACAATGTGAGCTCTTCAGTCAGTTTCTTTTACAGTCACCTACATTCAGTATTTGACCAAAAAGCAGAGTGTTATTGTTTTGGGTGGATAATGTGACATTTGATCTTTTAACTTGTGTGTAACTGTTCAGGAATACATGCCCCTGAGAAAATCTGTCAAGTTCCACCTGTAAATGAACCAAACGCCTCAGTCTGAACCATCAGGACTCACACATGGAAACAAAATACACAGTTAAGTTGATGGTGTACACTCCTCTTTCTTAGCTGGAGCATCTTTCTCCTCAGTGTCTTGAGCTTCAGTTGACTCCAGCTCAGAGCCAGCTGCCAGCGCTGACACCCTCAGGGCAAGCCGCTCAAGGACCAAATCAGCAGTACTGGTAAGAGTATGCTGAAAAGAGAAGGAACAAAATGACACGTCACATGATATATACAGCTTGTGAGACAGAACTTGTACAAGCTGAAGATCAGCACTGAGCTTTGCTTTACAAATGGCACAGTAGTTGTCTAATTGGGGTCTGTGTTGAGCTGGTGTTGAATGCATAAACATGATAAAGCTGAAAGGGTGCATCAAGTGCCATATTTATTGTTAGCCAACTTTAACTGCTCAGTAATGGCGAATGATGCTTCACAAGGCATCACATAATGACACATAAAATCATTTAACTGGAGAAAAGCAAAAGAAAAAGCATCTTGTTCAATGATTTGGTCATTATGTTTTTGTTACTATCCTTGTTATTAGTAGTAGTAGTAGTATTAATAATAACAGTAATAATAATTATAAGAAGAAGAAGAAGAAGAATGACTTTATTAAGGACACAGAGAAAGTCCATAGTGTACCACATAAAAACAGACAAGACAAGAAATACCCTACAATACATTATACAAGTTCATATTAAAAGCCAAAATTCAATAAACTGCACCCACAAACATACTGGAGTGCCAGTGGCCCCTCAGTCTTGATGAAAACCTGACTGAGCTCAGCTCAGGCTTGGCCAAGGCCTGGATGATACCATTTTCTGAGACAGAAAGCCTGCACGTATATGGATATATAAGATTTCGTATTAAGGCAGGGCAGGAAACACATTTACAAACATTTGGATGGCACTACACCATCGCTGAAGTTTAAAAAGCAGTCTCATTCAATCATTATGAGCCACATTAAGTCTCTGCAAACTTCAACACTGTCTGTGGATATCTTTATCATCGAATAAATCATTGACAACGTAATGGCCGAGATATTTAATCTCATCACACACTTTAAGAGCAATATCAGATAAGAAGAATTCAGGAAATACTAATTTTCTGTATTCTTACTTCTAACAATCATAATGTTGCTCTTATTGTCATTATATTTGATGTCAAAATCAGCACCATAGATTATTAGATATTTGTGGTGCTTCTCTTCTTACTCTCAAGCTTATATGGATTTTATGTGAACATGGATAATGGATTGTTTTTGACAACTACAGGCCACCACAGACAAAAGGAACAGAGACAAAATAGGCAATGCGTCTGTAAAATCATTTCAGATCAATTCTGCTGCAGTTTCTTCTGGTGGCCAGTAGAGGTCAGCAATTACTTGATGCATGAATTCACTTCTCTATTAGAAATATCTTTTTTAGTTCAAGAGCGCGCTTTTGTGTTAACTTAGTAAGCAGATGACCTATCTGTTACTGCAAGATGCAGAACAGTAAGATCAACAGCAGGCTGGCCCTGACAGAAAGCTACAATGTCACCATTAGTATCATAGATCACTGTTAGACAGCTTTCTGCTCCATACCTGTAAGATATGCAGGCCCTTTAGTGTGAGGACAGCCAGCTCTCTCAAACCATCCCCAGTCAAGTCTAAGTAGATGACAGACAGCAACGGACTCTTGAAGCTCCGCCTCCACTGCAGCTGAAACTGTCCATCTCGTCCTCTCCCTGCTGGCTGAAATTTGTAACACAGAAGTTCCTGTACAACAGAAAGGCAGATAACACCGTCATCATCAAGATCTTAACGCAGCAGTCACTCATTTTAATCAGATGCCTGAAAACGCAATGGCATTCTAGCACATTTGGTGCCTAGACAAGCCCCCCTCAAAAAACATGTCGTTTGCTACAGCTCACCAGTTGAAGTACTGCACATTTATTACCAAAATGCAAACAAACAACTTGGCTAAAAATAAAAAATAAGATAAAAAATATGTGCTAATTTGCTTTGAGTAAAATATTGTACATGTTATGATTATCATATTAATTAATAATCAATTACAAGTTAACTTGTTCAGAAAAATAAACAAGAAAATAATATATGACATAGTAAAATAATAATAACTTGTACAAATTAACTTTCTGATTGAACTAGGAATGCACTGA